CTTTGGGTGGGGAGGGCTGAGAGGTGCATGCATGTAGGTGGGGGTGTAACGGGGTGCATGGGGGTGGGGAGGGCTGAGAGGTGCGTGCATGTAGGTGGGGGTGTAACTAGGGGTGCATGGGGTGGGGAGGGCTGAGAAGTGGGTGCATTTAGTTGAGGGGCAGCTGGGGGTGCCTGGGGTGGGGAGGGCTCGGAGGTGCATGAATTTAGGTGGGGGGCAGCTGGGGGTGGGAAGGACTCAGAAGCAGGTGCATTTAGTTGGGGGAGCAGCTCTGGTGCACGGGGGTAGGAAATGGGAGCGTAGGTTGTAGCTATGTTGGTCTCGGGACACGGGCAAACAAGGTTCTTGGGGTGAATCCGATATCTTGTATTAGACCAACTCTAATAGTTGGAAAACATTTTTTTTTGCAAGCGTTTGAGTGTAAATAAATATGCTTTGTTGGGCTCAGAGGTGCATGCATTTAGGTGGGGGGCAGCTGGGGGTGGGGAGGGCTCAGAGGTGCATGCGTTTAGGTGAGGAGCAGCTGGAAGTGTATGGGGGTGGGAAACGGGTGTGGGTTGTAGCCATGTTGGTCTCAGGACACAGGCAGACGAGGGTCTTTGGGTAAATCTGATATGTTTTATTAGAGCAACTCAGATAGTTGGAAAAATTCTTTGCAAGCTTTCAGGTGTAAATACCCTGCTTCAGGCTCAGAAGTGGGTGCATGCAGGTGTGGGGAGCAGCTGGAGGTGTGTGGGGTGGGACGGGCTCAGAAGTGGATGCATTTAGGCGCGGGGAGCAGCAGTGGTGCACAGGTGTAGGAAAGGCTGTAGGTGGAGAGAGGTGAACTCAGGACTGTTAAGCAGGGGGTCTTTTTTTCACTTTAGCATCAGTGTGAGGTGAAAGGGATGGTGCTGTTTGGATTCAGTTTGGTTTTCTTTTCAGGTAGGTTTTTAGGGAAGCCTGGGGAGTACTCCTGAGCAGGGAAGGCTGCTGTGTCATCTTCTGAGTACGGCTCTAACGAATCTGAATGCAAGGACACATCTGTGCTTATATGACGCTGACTTGTACGTGACTTGAGAGCTCCTGTGCAAAAGGTCACTATTGTGCTTTCTTCCCTGTAGATTTGTGCAGCCTGCAAATCTGGCGCAGTTCCCCTTGGATCTACCAGATAGGAGG